TTTATGATTTAAAGAATGACAATGATAAAAAAATAATGTCAAATAATATTAAAAATATTATTTCATAATTATAATTTTTTTTAATAATAAAAAATTATTGTATTCTAAAAATTTGATATATCTTATAAAAACTTTAAAAATAAGTAATTTTTATAAGTTTTTTTTAATAAATATTAAACCGATTAAACTAATTTGATTAAACCGTCAAATCGATTTAATCGAATCCGATGTAAATTAAAATTTTCTCGGTCGAAATTGTGCCATAAAAATGAAATCATGATTTACGTAGAATTTAAATTTTAAACTCGAAATCGACCGAATCGACCGATTGCTCCGCCCTAAATAAAATGAATTTTGATATCATTTGAAAACTAGTTAGCTGTCCATGAAGGAATATGATGTGTTAGTCATAGGGCGGAAAATATAGGTAGTCTAAATATGAAATAGGAGTTAAACTACCTTAACTACTCAACTTTTGTATGGAAAGAGTCTAGTTTTGTTAACTGCATGAGTTTTTGTTTGGTGGAGTTGGCTAGAATATGGAGCTGTCTTATTTGTAAAACCAAATTTTGAAATGACTCAATTTAATCATTGACTTCAATAAAGGACTAATGGCTCAAATTTTGAAATGCACAATACATATTTTATTAACATATTTCATATAGTTAGGTAACCTGCATTTATTTATTTTATATGTGACAGAATACTTGACTTTCTTTGAACTTTCATGGTATATATATAACCTATTCTTCATTACCTTGTCATTACTTAACACTCAAAAATCAATCTTTATCAACAAACAACAGTTTTAAGATAAAAGGACCAATGACATATAAAGGGTTTGTCTTGTGTCTAGCCATGGTGCTAGTAGCGGCGAACATGATGACTCAAAATGCAGCTCAATCAGGTTGTACTACAACACTCACTAGCCTGAGTCCTTGTCTAAACTACATAATGGGGAGTTCTTCAACCCCATCAACTTCATGTTGCTCACAGCTTTCAACTGTTGTCCAATCTTCTCCACAGTGTCTATGCTCTTTGTTTAATGGCGGTGGTTCATCTTTTGGAATCACCATAAATCAAACTCTTGCTTTGTCTCTTCCGGTTGCTTGTAAAGTTCAAACTCCACCTGTTAGCCAGTGCAAAGGACAAACATCTCCTTCAAGTTCAACTTCGCCGGTGGCTTCTCCTGTTGGTTCTCCAACTGATTCTTCAACTCAATCACCTGAAGGTTCAATAACACCTGCTTCAGACTTTCCTTCAGGTATAAAAAACATATTGATTTTTGTGCAACGAAAATAGACTATATCTTAAATTAATAGTATAATGTTTATTGATTTCCATGGTTTTGGTGAATTGCAGGTGGAGGATCAAAAAGTGTGCCATCAACAGAAGGTGGCTCATCTGATGGAAGCACTATTAAAGTCTCGTTCAACTTTGTTCTTTCTCTTGTTACCATTGTGTTTTGTGCTGTCACCAAGTTTTGATTTTGTGCATACTGTGATTTGAGTGCCTAAGTTATGTATTTAGTTTACTTTACCATTATGCCATAGAAGATGTATTGTAGTTGTATGACTAAGAAATGGATTTGAAGTTATTCAAGATAATGATATAGATGATGTGTTATGTGAACTTCCAATTCAAAAGAGTAGATAATCGCTTTCATAAAAAGAGCAATATATATTCTTATTTTGTTTGTTTCAATATCTTTATAATTGTAATCAGTTACTTGAATTATATAATGAATTAAAATTTTGAACTGATTGAGTGTGTTAGTCTTTGTTGTGATTTGTTTGTTGCAACAGATATTATTAGATAACTTAGCATGAATACTTGAATGACTTATTTATAATTTGATGAAAGATGATTTGAATGACTATGAGATATACTATTAGGATGTGTGTATTAAATTTGTAGGCCGTTTGTATTATTTGAAGGCCAGATTTATTTATTGATGAAAAAAAGTGTTAAATTGAGACATATGTTATATTTAAACGTCTTTTTTTTTTTTAATTTATTTAAAAAAATTAGAATGTAGCAAAATTTAACAATGGCAAAAATACCATTTTTATCGAAAAAATTGTGTTTGAGAAAATTTTCTCTCAAACACGAAAAATTCGATAGTAACACTAAAAAGTCAGTATGTGTTTTTATCGATATTTTGAAATATCCCAAACGGTAGATAACTGCTTTCATAAAAGAGCAATATATTTATTTTTTATACAAGATCTTTATAATTGAAATCAATCACTTGAATTGTATAATGAATTAAAATTTTGAACTGGTTGAATCTATTAAGATTTTTTCATTAGAGGAGTTTGAGTTCGAAACTTTGTTAAGATCTGTTGATAGATGGACGGGTTGATAAATTCCATAATAAAAAAGAAAAAAGAAAAGAAAAAGAGAAGACAATAATTTAAAGAACAAATTCTATTAATCTCTGTGGATTTTAGATCAACCTCTAGTCTCGACAGGGATAGATTCTTGTTTTGACAGAGTTATGCATGATGTAGTCGAAGTTTGTTCAAGTATGCAGTTTTCTAAGTTAGCTTGTTGATTAAGTTAGCTCAGTGCTTAAGTTAGTTTAGTCTTTAAATTAGCTTGTAGTCTATAAATATGCTGCTCTCTCTTTCCCTAATTCGAAAGAGAGGGGGTTAAGCGTTGGTTGTTGTTATCCACTTGTAACCCTTTTCCCTAATTGAAAAAGTGAATAGAAAAAAGGTTTTAACCAATTCTTATTCTTCTTTTTACCTTTTTTCTCTTTTTCGTAAAATTAAAATGTATTTTTTGTGTTTTTTTCTAGAAAGTCAATCTTTCTCATGGTTTTTATTCGTTCCTGGTGTGACATTTGTCACAAAAACTGATGCGGTGGACATGGATCAAGATGTTGTCAATGAAGTATGAGATTAAGAAATCCACTGGTGTGAATGATTTCGGTTTGTGGCACTTGAAGATGCAAATACTTTTGGTTCATCAGGATTTGTTAGAAGTGTTGAAAGGATTCAGAGAAGATGGATGTTACCATAACAGAGAAGAAGAAGATGACGATGATCGAAAAAAACCACAGTGTCATTGTATTGAACCTTGAAGATGAGGTTCTCCGAAAGGGTTATACATGACTAAATCCCTGGTAAATCATTTGTACCTGAAGTAGGCTCTGGATTCATTCAAGATGAGTGAAGATAAAGTCTTGACAGAGCAGTTGGATACGTTTAACAAACTGATTCTTGATCTGGAGAATATTGAGGTTAGTATTAACGATGAAGATCAAACGTTGTTATTGTTGTGTTCTTTACCTAAGTCTCATGCTCATTTCAAAGAAACTTTCTTGTATGGAAGAGATTCTTTGACCTTTAAAAAGGCTCAATCTGCCTTGTACTCTAAGCATTTGAATGAACGAAAGGATCACAAGCCTTTGTTTGTTCGTGAAGGTTTGCCCGTTAAAGAGAAATTCTTGAAGAAAGGTGAGAGGTTTGAGAAGAATAAAGGTAAAGGTCAAGATAAGTCTTATGGTGGTGATGCTCATAAAATTAGGTGTTATCACTGTAAGAAGGAGGGTCATACAAGAAAGGTGTGTCTTGAACACCTAAAAGATCATGGTGGTAAAGATAATGGGAATGCAACCATTGTTCAAGATGATTTTGAATCTTCTGATGACCTGGTAGTTTTGAGCATCAATTCTTGCAAGGAATGGATCACAGATTTAGGTTGCACTTGACACATGAATCCAAACAAATATGTTTTTGAGAAATTATGTGATCAAGATGGTGGATTAGTGCCGCTTAGAAACAACAAAGCCTACAAAATTAGAGGAATTGGATTTATAAGATTCAAGCTCTATGATGAGTCAATAAAGTTGTTGGCTAGTGTCAGGTTTGTACCTAATCTAAAGAGAAATTTGATTTCTCTATGTGAATTTGACAAGAAGGGATATGCTTCCAAAAGATAACAAGGTACCCTAAGAGTCATGAAGGGGTTGAAGGACATTTTGAGAGGCATGAAGAAACAAGACTTGAATACCCTTGAGGTTGAGGTTGTAAGTGGAATAACATATTTTGCCTCCATGAAACCTGTATCGAAGATAGAACTATGGCACTTGAGATTGGGCCATGTCAGTGAAAACGGTCCTTTTAACTAGGGATACAAAATCTGCTAGGTGGTGACAAAGTCGAAAAGTTGGAATTTTGTGAACTTTGTTGTTTGGTAAATCTTAGAGAGTGAATTTTAACAAAGCCAACAAAAAGAGAACATGGATCCATTGATTACATTCATGCTGATCTTTGTGGGCCTACAGGGAATCCTTCATACTCAAGTACAAAGTATTTTCTATCCATAGTTGATGATTACTCCATAAATTTATGGGTATTCATCCAGAAGTCTAAGGATGAAAGTTTTGAAATTTTCAAAAGTTGCAAGACTCAGCTCAAAAATCAGACTGACAAGAAGGTCAAGAGGTTGAGAACTGATAATGGTCTTGAGTTCTACAATGAAGCTTTAGATATTTATTGTAGTATGAATGGTATTTCAAGGCATGAGACTATGTAGGTACTCCTCAATAAAATGTCTTGGCCGAGAGATTTAATCAAACAATCTTGGAAAGGGTTAGATGATTGTTGGTTAGCGTTGGATTGAAGAAGGTGTTTTGTGTTGAGACTGCAGAGAGTGTAGTATACTTGATAAATAGGTGTCCCGCAGCTGCCTTGGGGATGAAGAAACCTAAAGAAGTCTGGTCAGAACATCCACCTAATCTCGACAGACTTAAATTATTTGATTGTTTAGTCTACGGTTACATTAGGCAAGACAAGGTTGAACCTAGATCTCTAATATGTATGTTTCTTGGATACCCTTAAGGATTCAAATCTTATAGGTTGTGGTTCCTAGAGCCAAGTGTTATTTGTAGTAGTGTTATATATATAACCTATTCTTCATTACCTTGTCATTACTTAACACTCAAAAATCAATCTTTATCAACAAACAACAGTTTTAAGATAAAAGGACTAATGGCATTTAAAGGGTTTGTCTTGTGTCTAGCTATGGTCCTAGTAGCGGCGAACATGATGACTCAAAATGCAGCTCAATCAGGTTGTACTACAACACTCACTAGCCTGAGTCCTTGTCTAAACTACATAATGGGGAGTTCTTCAACCCCATCAACTTCATGTTGCTCACAGCTTTCAACTGTTGTCCAATCTTCTCCACAGTGTCTATGCTCTTTGTTTAATGGCGGTGGTTCATCTTTTGGAATCACCATAAATCAAACTCTTGCTTTGTCTCTTCCGGTTGCTTGTAAAGTTCAAACTCCACCTGTTAGCCAGTGCAAAGGACAAACATCTCCTTCAAGTTCAACTTCTCCGGTGGCTTCTCCTGTTGGTTCTCCAACTGATTCTTCAACTGAATCACCTGAAGGTTCAATAACACCTTCTGCTTCAGACTTTCCTTCAGGTATAATAAACATATTGATTTTTGTGCAACAAAATAGACTATATCTTAAATTAATAGTATAATGTTTATTGATTCCCATGGTTTTGGTGAATTGCAGGTGGAGGATCAAAAAGTGTGCCATCAACAGAAGGTGGCTCATCTGATGGAAGCACTATTAAAGTCTCGTTCAACTTTGTTCTTTCTCTTGTTACCATTGTGTTTTGTGTCGTCACCAAGTTCTGATTTTGTGCATACTGTGATTTGAGTGCCTAAGTTATGTATTTAGTTTACTTTACCATTATGCCATAGAAGATATATTGTAGTTGTATGACTAAGGAATGTTAAAGAAGAAATGGATTTGAAGTTATTCAAGATAATGATATAGATGATGTGTTATGTGAACTTCCAATTCAAAAGAGTAGATAATCGCTTTCATAAAAAGAGCAATATATATTCTTATTTTGTTTGTTTCAAGATCTTTATAATTGTAATCAGTTACTTGAATTATATAATGAGTTAAAATATTGAAGAGTGTGTTAAAGATTTTTTCATTAGAGGAGCTTGAGTTTGAAACTTTGTTAACATCTGTTGATAGATGGGCGGATTGGTAAATGCCATAATGAAAAATAATAATAATAGTAATTATTATTATTATTATTATTATTATTATTATTATTATTATTATTATTATTATTATTTATTTATTTATGTTATAAATAGTATAATACCGAACTAATCATATTTATGATTTAACATCATATTCTATATCTTTTGCACCTATTGTTTAAATGATCATGATGATTGTTGAGCAGAGTGGAGGCAAATACCGTGCTGTGCTTTGGTGATAAAGTTATCTTTGAACAATAACTATTGAACAGAATAGAACAAGGGGTTCATTGAAATTTTAAATTTGGATAATTGTAATATATTAATAGTCTTTGTTGTGATTTGTTTGTTGCAACAGATATTATTAGATAACTTAGCATGAATACTTGAATGACTTATTTATAATTTGATGAAAGATGATTTGAATGACTATGAGATATACTATTAGGATGTGTGTATTAAATTTGTAGGCCGTTTGTATTATTTGAAGGCCAGATTTATTTATTGGGTTTAGGGTTTAGGGGGAAAAAAGTGTTAAATTGAGACATATGCTATATTTAAACGTCTTTTTTTTAAATTTATTTAAAAAAATTAGAATGTAGCAAAATTTTATATGACAAAGTTTAATATCAATTAATCAAATAAATCGATCTGGTTTAACTGATAAATCTATTAAATTGAATTTGAACAAATCAATTGAACATTCAGTCGAAATTAAGCCTGACAAATGGATCTATGGTTTCGATCGATTTGACATATTGGGCCTAAGCCCTGCTCAAACCAACTGATGACTAGTCCTAAATTCTATTAATCTCTTAATAGTACAAGATGGGCTCTTCGTCCAATGGTACATGTAGATGTACATGTTTCTTAAAGAATCTCTATGGCACGCGGAGTTGGACCTATTACTACCAATTTGGACATGATATCCCACATTTTAACAATGGCAAAAATACCCTTTTTATTTTTTTTACTTTACTTATATTCTTGCAAATTTTGTGTTTGAGAAAATTTTCTCTCAAACACGAAAAATTCGATAGTAACACTAAAAAGTCAGTATGTGTTTTTATCGATTTTTTGAAATATCCCAAGCGGTAGATAACTGCTTTCATAAAAGAGCTATATATTCATTTTTTTATACAAGATCTTTATAATTGAAATCAGTCACTTGAATTATATAATGAATTAAAATTTTGAACTGGTTGAATTTGTTAAGATTTTTTCATTAGAGGAGTTTGAGTTCGAAACTTTGTTAAGATCTGTTGATAGATAGACGGGTTGATAAATTCCATAATGAAAAAGAAAAAAGAAAAGAAAAAGAGAAGGAAATAATTAAAAGAACAAATTCTATTAATCTTTGTGGTATTTTAGATCAACTTCTAGTCTCGACAGAGATAGATTCTTGTTTTGACAGAGCTATGCATGATATAGTCGAAGTTTGTTCAAGCATGTCGTTTTCTAAGTTAGCTTGTTGATTAAGTTAGCTTAGTGCTTAAGTTAGTTTAGTGTTTAAATTAGCTTGTAGTCTATAAATATGTTGCTCTCTCTCTTTCTCTAATTCGAAAGAGAGAGGGTTAAGCGTTGGTTATTGTTATCCACTTGTAACCCTTTTCCCTAATTGGAAAAGTGAATAGAAAAAAGGTTTTAACCAATTCTTATTCTTCTTTTTACCTTTTTTTCTCTCTTTCGTAAAATTAAAATATTTTTTGTGTTTTTTCTAGAAAGTCAATCTTTCTCATGGTTTTTATTCGTTCCTGGTGTGACATTTGTCACAACAAACTGATGCGGTGAACGTGGATCAAGATGTTGTCAATGAAGTATGAGATTGAGAAATCCACTGGTGTGAATGATTTCAGTTTGTGCTACTTGAAGATGCAAATACTTTTGGTTCATCAAAATTTGTTAGAAGTGTTGAAAGGATTCAGAGAAGATGGATGTTACCATAACAGAGAAGAAGAAGATGACGATGATCGAAAAAACCACAGTGTCATTGTATTGAACCTTGAAGATGAGGTTCTCTGGAAGGGTTATACATGACTAAATCCCTGGTCAATCATTTGTACCTGAAGTAGACTTTGGATTCATTCAAGATGAGTGAAGATAAAGTCTTGACAGAGCAGTTGGATACGTTTAACAAACTAATTCTTGATCTGGAGAATATTGAGGTTAGTATTAATGATGAAGATCAAATGTTGTTATTGTTGTGTTCTTTACCTAAGTCTCATGCTCAATTCAAAGAAACTTTCTTGTATGGAAGAGATTCTTTGACCTTTAAAAAGACTCAATCAGCCTTGTACTCTAAGGATTTGAATGAACGAAAGGATCACAAGCCTTTGTTTGTTAGCGAAGGTTTGCCGTTAAAGAGAAATTCTTGAAGAAAGATGAGAGGTTTGAGAAGAATAAAGGTAAAGGTCAAGATAAGTCTTATGGTGGTGATGCTCATAAAATTAGGTGTTACCATTGTAAGAAGGAGGGTCATACAAGAAAGGTGTGTCTTGAACGGCTAAAAGATCATGGTGGTAAAGATAATGAGAATGCAACCATTGTTCAAGATGATTTTGAATCTTCTAATGACCTGGTAGTTTGAGCATCAATTCTTGCAAGGAATGAATCACAGATTCAGGTTGCACTTGACAGATGAATCCAAACAAATATGTTTTTGAGAAATTATGTGATCAAGATGGTGGATTAGTGCCGCTTAGAAACAACAAAGCCTACAAAATTAAGGGAATTGGATTTATAAGATTCAAGCTCTATGATGAGTCAATAAAGTTGTTGGCTAGTGTCAGGTTTGTACCTAATCTAAAGAGAAATCTGATTTCTCTATGTGAATTTGACAAGAAGGGATATGCTTCCAAAAGATAACAAGGTACCCTAAGAGTCATGAAGAGGTTGAAGGAAGTTTTGAGAGGCATGAAGAAACAAGACTTGAATACCCTTGAGGTTGAGGTTGTAAGTGGAATAACATATTTTGCCTCTATGAAACATGTATCGAAGATAGAACTATGGCACTTGAGACTGAGCCATGTCAGTGAAAACGGTATTTTTAACTAGGGATACAAAATCTACTAGGTGGTGACAAAGTCGAAAAGTTAGAATTCTGTGAACTTTGTTGTTTGGTAAATCTTAGAGTGAATTTTAACAAAGCCAACAAAAAGAGAACATGGATCCCTTGATTACATTCATGTTGATCTTTGTGGGCCTACAGGAAATCCTTCATACTCAAGTACAAAGTATTTTCTATCCATAGTTGATGATTACTCCATAAATTTATGGGTATTCATCCAGAAGTCTAAGGATGAAAGTTTTGAAATTTTCAAAAGTTGCAAGACTCTGCTCAAAAATCAGATTGACAAGAAGGTCAAGAGGTTGAGAACTGATAATGGTCTTGAGTTCTACAATGAAGCTTTAGATATTTATTGTAGTATGACTGGTATTTCAAGGCATGAGACTATGTAGGTACTCCTCAATAAAATGTTTTGGCCGAGAGATTTAATCAAACAATTTTGAAAAGGGTTAGATGATTGTTGGTTAGTGCTGGATTGAAGAAGGTGTTTTGTGTTGAGACTGCAGAGAGTGCAGTATACTTGATAAATAGGTGTCCCGCAGCTGCCTTGGGGATGAAGAAACCTAAAGAAGTCTGGTCAGAACATCCACCTAATCTCGACAGACTTAAAGTATTTGATTGTTTAGTCTACGGTCACATTAGGGAAGACAAGGTTGAACCTAGATCTCCGATATGTATGTTTCTTGGATACCCTTAAGGAGTCAAATCTTATAGGTTGTGGTGCCTAGAGCCAAGTGTTATTTGTAGTAGTGTTGTAATATTTAATAGAAAAAAGTTTTCTTGCATAATGTCCATTCATCTGTGAAAAAGTTTAGTAAAAACACTTGAGCATTTAAATGTTTATATCATATAAATTTGTTCATTGAAGGAGAATATTGAATTTTTAATATATTAGAAAAGCATCAAAGTTCTCAATTTTATCAAGTCTACTGTAAAGTCTGTTTGTACTAAATTTTATCTGTTTGTCGTAATTTCACCAAGTGTGTGGTGATTCTTATTTGATAAAAAATGGATGTTCTTTTTATAGGAAGAGTTGTCTTTGTATTTGTTAGATAAAGTCCTTTGAAAGGGTGATTCAAAGTCAACCATAGTTTTTGGTGTTGTTAGATATCAAGGAAATGGTTTGCTTTGTTGTTGTTTTTAGAAGATTGTAGGAGAAGTATTGGTGTGAGGCTTGTAAAAAGATCTAACAATAATGGAAACATCTCACAGGGTATGAGGGGAGTAGATGTACTCTTGTTTGGAAAGGGGGACTAGTATAATTCTATGTGTTCATTTACTTTACTACACGTTACTTTTCTTTTTCTTATTCATTCATCTGTTGATTAATTTAGAGAAAGTACAAGAAACCTAAAAAGTACATAAAATATCTAAAACTATCATTAAGTCTAATTCCCCCTCCCCTCCTATTTCCCACTTTAAACTTACAGTTGGCATCATAGTAGGTTATAGATAACTTTCTCCTAAGATCCAGAAGATGGCTTTTGTAAACTGTGTTTTTAGACTTGGTGGCAGTATCAACAAACCTCCATGCTTTGGTGGTGAGCATTATGATTTTAGGAAAATTCGC